GCTTTTGCTGGTTTTGGTTTCAAACGTGGCTCTTCCTTGGCTGAGATTGGTCTGGTTTGAAGTGGAGGGGACTTAAATTATTGGTGCTAGGGTTTTAGGTAATTAGGGTTTGTGAGTGTAAGTCTCATAGGCTTAGAGGATCTTCAATTGAGTGTTTAAACGCTTGGTGTTCTGACCTCTTGATTTGCTGGTTTTCTGCCATGCTATTTGTGCTTAGGTTTTTGAGTTGTGCTAATTATTGCTTTTTCCATGCTTCCTTGGTTATTGCACCTTTAATCCTGGTATTGGTTATATATGTGTGTCGGTTATGCTTATTTGCTGCTTTGGTTTGTGATGCCAGATTAATGAGGTATGGATTATACCACTCTTACTTGGTAACTTGGATTGTGCAGTTTGATGTGCCCAATTATCTGTTAAGTATTTTCATCATGAGGTTTATCTTATGTCATGTTGGGAATACTCTGCCTTGCATTGGAAGTGTATCCTATTCCTTAACGGTTGGATCCCCCAAATGTTAGATAGTTAAGTGAGGTTTGGACATGGAAGGGGCTCATCCTATCTTTTCTGCTTGGTTTTTTACCTTGTTTGTTCCATCTCACTACAATAGCCAACTCCCAATTTTTCACTTCTTCTTCCTCTTACCTAGGAGACCCAGGATTTGTTCAGACCAGTATGTTCCTTGGTGGGTGAACCTTTTCCCCTTCCCCAACTTGGGGAAGAACCTGTAGTTGCTAAGAAAGCGTTTGGAACCTTTACATGGAGTGCGAGGTTACTAGGGTAGTACACTCTGTGCTCTAACCTTAATGTGGAGCACATGAAGTCTCATGTTCTCATGGGTAAGATGTTCGACCAACATCTGAAGGCTTGCTTAATCAAATGGAAGCTAGGGTTTCTTAGGAAGAATGGGGTAAAGAACAACTTTTACCTCAATCACTATGGTATGAGATGATTTGCACTGGAATTCTTGGATGTTGGTGACTTGGACTTCGTCTTCAGCAATAGGCCTTTGTATGTTCATGGTCAGGTATTTCATTTGGAGAGATGGACGACACAATTCAGCGACATGGATGCTATCAGCAAGCTTGTTCTTTGGGCTAGGCTACCAAAGCTTCCTCTGCAGTACAAGGACAAAATCATCAAGACCATTGCGTAGCCTTTGAGAGATATTTGGAGGGTTGATGAGGTTACTCTTAGTCTCAATGGTTTGTTTGTCAAGGTGTTAGTCGAAGTGGACTTAAGGTTTCTGCTAAAGAGAGTCCTACTAGTAAATCAAGATGACAAAAACCCAATTCTAGTGAGCTATGAAAAAATCTTTGAAGTGTGATTCTACTGCGGATGTAAGAGGGGTGGCAACCACTATTGTCTTGAAGAGGAGGTCGATGATGGTTGTTTCATGATTGAGAAAGTATTTGATGATGAACTAAGAATTTTCCTGGAGGATCTTTAAGTGGAAGGGACATAAAGGAAGCTTTACAAAGTAATGTGCTGCAGTGTTTCCCTGTAGCTGTGACATAGGAAGAGGAAAACATGGAAGCAGAAAAGGGAGTTCAAAAAAATGATGGTGAAGGTCCTGATGAGGAGGGTTGGACAACGGTGATCCCAAGATGGCGCTAAAGGGCTGATAAGCAAAGAGCTAATGTGAAGGTTTGGGAAGACAATGTTCCCAAAGAGAGCAACAAAGGTTCTAAGTATAAGTGGGTGGCTCATGCGGATCTTGTGCAGGATTGGAGGAAAAACAGACAAGGGCACAGAGCAGAAGCAGGAGGAAATTATATGTTTTAACTACCTGATTTGGTTTGAGTCAAATGAGTCTGATTCTTTGCCTAGCATGTTAATTGTTAAAAGGTACTATGCAGAGTGATTGTTTGGAAGATAACCCATGGTTGAATTTTCTTGAAAATAAATTATGTCTGTGTTTGGTTTATTTTAAGTATGTTTGCATGTACTACTTTGATCATGCTTCTAGTTTGGTAGTGGTTGATTGATGTGTTTGTGTCCAGGATGTAAGTGTGCAAGAGGGTAGTAAGTTTGTGGGGGAAAATAGTAGAAGTGTTTGGGATGCTGTGGTGGCTAGCATGGTTGCTGAGGACACTCAGGTTCTAACCAGACCAACTGTAGGGCTGATAAGTCCAAGGAAGAGAATCCGCGAGGAGTTTACAGAAGCAGAGGCAACCTACAAGAGCCAACTTGAAGAAATTGACTAATGAAGTCTATGACTTGGAATTGTAGGGGCATATGGAGGCCGAATTTTAAAAGTAATTTTAGTTTTTTATGTACTAGTTTTATAATTAACATGTTTTGTTTAATGGAAACCAAAATGAATGTGGATAAGGTCTAAGGGAACTTTTATGGTAGCTAATTTGATCAGTTTGTTAGCTGTGATCCCACTGGTAGAGATGGGGCTTTGGTTCTATTTTGGAACTCTGCCAAAGTTATTATTATTGTGATTGCCAGTTCTTCTCATTTTGTTCATTGTTTAGTGACTGATAAGGCCTTAAACTTTGAATCTCTAGTTACCTTTGTTTATGCCTTTCCTCAAAAGCATCTCTAGGTTAGTCTTTGGGAAGATTTACTATAGCTAGATTCAGGGGATAAACCTTGGTGCTTAATGGGGGATTTCAATAATATCTGGGATTTACCTGAGAAGAAGGGTGGTTGTCAAGTAACCACAGTGTTCATGAATAGATTTCTGGATTTCCTTAATAAAGGGAGACTTATTTCTCTCAATGCCTTAGGGTCCCATTTACTTGGTGCAATAATTAAAATGGCAGTAGAAGGGTTTATGAAATACTAGACTGTGCCACTGTGAATGGATGCTGGTTAAATGAAACACTACAAGAAAACATGGAAAAGGTGACCAAATTATATGCGACGCCCAAATATTTGTCACATATAAGAAAATTATGTGACGAAATGTTAAACGTGTCACACATAATTGGTTTGCTAGGTACGAAATTTGGACCAACTTATGTGACAATAAATACGTCACATATTCCAAAATTAAGTGACAAATACGGCAAGCATCACCAATTATTTAATATCCTTTAAAATGAAGAAGTAGTGGCACAAAATTTTCTAAGTCCTTAATAAAATATATGGCGGGACAAAATGGCGCCATATGAAATAGGGTATGCGAGGAATTTCAAAGTGGGTCACATATTTGAATCTTTTGTGAGGAAAGTGGTCATCACATTACAAAGAAGGAATAAAGTTCCAACAAAATAATAGACTGAATCAAATATTAATTTTTTTTGAGAATATTCCCCGTCTCTCATTCACTTTCCTCTTCTCGCTCTCAGACTTCTCCCATCTCTCCATCACCGTGACCTAAAATCCGCTGGCCGTCTCATCCCTCAATTTTGTTCTGTCTTTACTACAACAGTACCAGGATCTTCCGAGCCAATCGCTCAGATCCTCTCTCATCCCTTCGCTCTCTATCACTCTCCACAACCAAAAACCCTAGAGACCTATTCAACCAACAAGCCAAATTCATGCCCCGCACCAACCAGACTACCTCGATTTGTCGTCCAATAGTTCTCCTTTTGTTCAATTATGATTTTTGTGCTGGATTCAAAGGGTATCTGTCTCCAATATTGAGCTTCGAGTAGCCCTTCACTTCCGCATCCAAGGATTCACCTTCCCAAGTCTCTATTTGGGTAAAATTGTTTCATTTATTATCAATTCTTTTTAACTTAGGGTTTTGAATTTGCAGATAATTGCCCCCAAAATTGAGCAAACCAGTAGCCTTCCTCCTCCACATCCGTCTTCCTCTCTCTGTCATGCTCCATAAACAACCCAATTCCACGCCATAAGTCCCACACCAACGAGACTGCCTTTGTGTCCACGAATCGTTGAAGGGATTTTGCTTATTTGAGGTAATTAGTAAGGGGTTTTGTTTCATTTTTTTTTTTAAATTAACTTAAAATTTGTAGTTCCCTAATTTAACATATTATTAGGGTTTTGTAGTTTTTGTTCAATTTAATCCTTTTTTATGACTAATTTGCTAATTATCAGATTTCGCATGCTTTGTTCTATTTAAACCCCATTTATTTTTATCTAATTTGTTATTATTTAGTGATTTTTTTGGCATCAATTGCATGTGTTGCTGTTATAAAGGTATTTGGTTACAATTTGAAGAATCAAGCTACCATGATATGATTTCCTTTACTTCTATAATTTTTGTCTGGCTTAGGCATGTCTCTATTATGTGTTCTATTTGAATTTTTTAGAAACAGAAAGCTTGTTTAATTGTATGTTTATCTAAGATGTGTTTCCCATCTCTTCCCATGGAGCTCTAGCCTTTGATAAGGCCCAAGTAACTCTTTCACCGACTTGAGATTAGGTCCTATTAATTTTTCAAGTACTGTAATTTTGCCATATATAATAGTTGTGCTTAATTTGCTCCTATGAATAATTTGTGCCTTTGCTTTCAATGGGGCATGGTGGTTGTGTTTTTGTTGCTCGATGATGATTTTGTTTTACCTTGGTGTCTTAGAAAACTTACAAAAATTTACAAGGATTTGAGCAGGGGCTGAGCCATAAGTAATGCTTATATGAATTTGAGCTCTTAGATTGTATAATAACAATCGAAATAACTAGGGTTGCAACTCCAACCCCACATTCTCCTCCTCTCCCTCTGAAATCACATACAACCTTATCCATGCTTTGTTGTCCTTGCCTTGCTGTTAATGAAGAATTCGGGAGTTCTCTAGATGTACAATGGGTGGTATGGTCAGTTGTGCAGGTGTGTTCAAGAGGTGAGACACCTTGGGGGATAATATTAGGACTTATCTTTTAGAATCATTAGTAGTGATATCAATTTGATCTTTATAAAAGTTGAATGTTTTAAAATTACACTGAATAAGTAGTTTGTGGTATGAAACTAGATATGTATTTCTTGTTAATTAATGACCTTTAAATGTAGGATGTTTTCAAGCAAAATTTATATAATCGTAAGAAACAAAAGTATTACCACAAGGAGGGGCAAACCATTTCATCCAGCATGCAAGGAAGGCTCACAAGGTAATGAAATTAAAGTACATATAAAACTCATTGTGTAATTTAGGTAGGCATGTTATTGATATGGGTTTGAGATGGGTGGTGGGTAATGGTAAGGAGATTCTCTTATGGACTCATTGTTGGGTTTTTTCTTACCCGTTGTTCCATCTTATACCAGAAACACAAAAGCAGAATATCAATTGTAATTTATGGGTAAGTGACTTTTTGAATAAATTATTAAGTATTCTGGATGCTGATATTGTCAAGAAAATTTGTCTTGTGATCATTCTTCTGGAGAGTTCTCTATTAAATCAGCGGGATTCAAAGGAATAGTAACCAAACTGTCAACTGGAAAAAATTGCTCAAGCAAATGTGGAAGCTAACGATTCTGCCAAAGTTAAAATCTTTGCTTAGATTTTGATCAATGGTAAATTGAATACAAAAGACAGACTTGGCAGGTTTATTCGTACTTTAGATAAGTCTTGCCCTATTTGTGGTACGGAGGAGGAAAATCAAACGCACCTGTTTCTTAATTGTGAGTTTGCAAAAAAACGTGTAGACGTTGTCCTCTTTATGTCCTTGGTCGAATAATTCAATCCATTGGAATAATGCTATTGGGCGGCTTAATTTTCTCTACAGCTCTACAAAAAAGGGTTATTGGAACTTAATAAACCCCTTTTACATTGCTGGCAAATCTGGAATGAAAGGAATAATACGGTGTTTCGCAGTGTGGCCTTATTCCTGCCAAGATGTGTGTCCGTTGCTGCCAAGTTAGGACTGGATTACTTTTAATCAAATGCCAAGATTGTGGAGTCAAATTTGTTGTTGCATCAAGGCCTTATTCGCTAGAGGTCCCCTGATTAGGGTTGGTTAAAATTAAATTTTGATGGGTCGGAGACTCAAGGAAAGGCTGGAGTGGGTTTTGTGGTGTGAAATGACTAGGGATTGACGGTGGGAGCTGGGGCCTGCAATTTGGATGGGGCCACTATCTCGGTTGCGGAGGCTGTGGCCCTTTAGGAGGGCCTCTTATTCACAAGACGGAAAGACATCAAGAGGCTGGAGGTTGAAGGTGACTCCCTGTTAATATAAATCTAGTGACTGGGATATGGAAACCCTATTGGCATCTCCTTTCTACTATCGAAGACATTAAATGGCTGGCTACTAGTTTTCACTCTATTCGTTGGAGGCATATATTTAGGGAAGCCAACTTTGTGGCTAATAAGATGGCTGATGTGGGGGTGGCGGTTTCGAACCCTCACTTTTGGGACCATTGTCTCCTTACTTCAGTTTTAGTAGCTTTTAACTTTGACTGTATCGGTACTGGTTGGTCTGGAAGTTTCCCTATTTAATAAATTTATTTCTCATAAAAAAAACCTATATATATGTTTCATTTCATAATGACACATCCCGACCGAGATCAAGGTATGCTGGCCGTCATGTGAGAGTGACGTAGCCATGTGCACAGTGCGGAAGCAATAATGATAAGAATTATACGAATAATTGAAAACCAATTTACTAGAGTGCACTACTAAACAGAAAGTGATAGGAGTTAGTTACAACACTAAACACTCCTAATCAGAGCATAAAGCCTAGGTGCAGTCCAGTAGGATAAGTACTAGTTATACAGTACCAGGAATGTCCTACTATTATTTAGATAAGTCAGAACTGCCGATATACTCAAGCCACCAACAGCAAGCTTACATAAAACCTGGAGGGGCGCAAAACAGAAAACGTGAGTGGGCAAAAACAAATGTTTTAGAAAATCATTTCATTTATCAACATATCTAACTCCTCGCTGTAAAACATATATAATTTTCCCCAGAATCAAGATATAAGCATATACATACATATATATATATATATATATATATTTATATATGAAATCATATCAATTCAATTCATGCTTCACATAATCATATTCAAATGTGTGATATGCCAAGATATAACAGTGTAAGCAATTCAGGTAAGAATAAATGTATAGAAATACGATATGTTAGCCGGAACCCCTATGGTAGTCTGTACGGCTGAATTCATAGCTCAAAAGTTAATCTAGCTGGAGTCACTCCAATGACCTATACGGTAATATACTGCACATAAGTCGGAACCACTAAAAAGAGGTCTGTACTACAAGATTGGGTGTAATATAATTATGCTCAACTTTACTCTCTCATAATAGTCGGACGATAAATCGCTAGTCACCTACGAGTCGGAACCATAAATAAGGTCTGTACGACAAGACTATGCACTTAAGTTGGATCCAATATGAGCATATAGTGCGGGAGGTGACGTAAATAAACAGGCATGTACTTCACATCTCTGACTAAATCACAATCACCGTAGGTGCAGTTTTATGAGCTCAATATTATTCAATCACATATCACTTCATCGATAATTCATATAACCAAACATAACTTACTTGAGCTCAAGTATTTAAGTATATACTAAAAACAAAAGCCCACTCACTGGTATGTCGAAGGATCGTAGCCCCTGAGTCGCCCGTGGATACGCTCGTCCTCGGGATAAGCCTCACCTATATGCGAATTAACTATAAAAACGTTATTTTAAAGCACACAGGTGAAACTAGCTAATAACTTCTCATACATTGCTCAAACTAGGTATATGAATACACCATAGTGACCTACACAACCTCAGGATCATCCCAAAATTTTTAGATAAATTTTTCAGGCTCCCATGCGCCGGTAAGGGCACGGCAAAACGCGTCCCCCATGCACGACATCTTCAACCTCCAAACGTCGGAATAGTGTCACCGACGCCGAATTCTGGGCAGACCTGCAATTGCCTATTTCTTGCTCATTTTTGCACCATTTTTCACACAATTTATACCAAAATGAAGCTCTTAACTTGTAGAACACAATCATACTAACTTAAAGTTCTAAAAGTCATAGGATCTCATCGGAGAATTCCAAGAAAAACCGGCCAAACTTCGTCCACACGATCCCGAAATCCAAAACCTTCAAACGAAGCACTCCGAGCTTCCTTAGGACCTCACTAAGCTTCCTATAAGCTTCAAATTCCCAAAAACATCCATAATTACGTGTGTGTATAAACAGTGCACAAATCGGGGTTATGAAAAACTAGGGTTTTCGAAGGTATCCTTACCTGAAATGGGTACCAATCGACTCGTTTGAGCTTCACGAACACAATGGTGCCAACTTTGACCACGATTCGTGAAGTTTCAAGGGTTTTGGGTGATTGTTTGTACGAGTTCGAAGGAGAGAGAGAGTGAAATAGAGAGAGAGAGAGTGCACGGGAGTGAGAGAGAGAATGGAGGAGTGATGTGTGGTCTAAAATAGTCAACAACCCACAATACACCAAACTCTAATCCTAATTGGTTCCAAACAATTAGGATTTAAGAATATTGGTCAAAAAACACAATTAAACCAATAATACAACTCAACGTCTAGGGGTAATTCCGACTTTTCACACCTCCGATAAATAATTAACGTACATCTCTAGGACGAGCTGTGATAATCTCCCCACCTTATAAAATTTCGTCCTCGAAATTATATACAACCAATACATCCACTAATAATCATAAAACAAGCATGGATACATCTCTCTCATCCGATCATCTGTCTTCCAAGTAGCTTCTTCCACTGAATGATTTCTCCATAAAACTTTCACCAAGCGTACTATCTTATTTCTTAGTTCTTTATCCTTCCAATCCAACAGAGTCATTGGCTCCTCATCATAAGTCAAGTCCGAATTGATTTCCAAAGGTTGAGGAGGAATCACATGTGAAGGATCTGAAACATAATGCCGAAGCATCGAAACATGAAATACATCGTGCACCTTGGATAACTCTGGAGGCAACTCAAGCCTGTAAGCAACCTCACCGACTTGCTCGGTGATAATATATGGTCCAATGAACCTTGGACTCAACTTTCCTTTCTTTCCAAATTGTACTACACCTTTCCAAGGTGATAGCTTCAGAAATACCCAATCACCTACATCATATTTCCGATCAGTGACATGCTTGTCTGCTAAGCTCTTTTGTCGATCTTGGGCCGCTTTCAGGTTAGACTTAATTACTTGAACATTTTGAGTAGTCTTAATTACCTGAACATTTTGAGTAGTCACATCCACAATCTCAGGGCCCAGTAAAACTCTTTTGCCAACCTTTGACCAACATAGAGGCGTACGACAAGATTTCCCATAAAGTGCCTCGAATGGTGCCATACCAATACTTGAATGATAACTGTTGTTGTAGGTGAACTCCATCAAATCCAAACAATCATGCCAACTATCTCCAAACTGCAGCACTGAAGATCTCAACATATCTTCTAATGTTTGAATAGTTCTCTCAGATTGTCCATCAGTCTGAGGGTGATATGACGTACTATAAAGCAATCTTGTACCAAGAGCTTCCTAGAATGCTATCCAGAACTTGGAAGTAAATCTAGGATCCCGATCCGAGATAATATTAACTGGCACACCATGATACTTCACAATTTGTGATATAAATAACTTAGCTAATCGGCTTAACGAATACTTCTCCCTCATTAGAATAAAATGTACTGACTTTGTAAGCCGATCAACTACCACCCAAATGCCGTCATATCCATTCCGTGTACGAGGAAGCTTGTACACAAAATCCATAGTAATATTTTCCCATTTCCACTGTGGAACGGGAAATGGCTGCATCAAACCAAATGCCTTCTTCCTTTCAGCTTAATCCTGTTGGCAAATGGCACACCTACTCACATATTCGGCAATTTCTCTTTTCATACCCGGCCAATAATAAAATGGTCTAATGGTATGATACATCTTAGTGCCTTCTGGATGCATTGCATATGCCGAAATATATGCTTCATCCAAAATTTCTTTCTTTAACTCTGTATTATTCGGCACATACATTCTGCTTTCCTGCATAAGCATGCCATCGGTTTCTTGAATTTCGAAATCTTTCTTTTTGCCTTGATTTCTTGCTTGAATTATTTCCTGGGTCTTTTCATCATTCATTTGAGCTTCAAGCACACGATCAATTAAAATTGGTCTAACCTGGAAATTAGCAAGCAAGGCTTCTTCTCGATCTTCCACTCCTAACTCCACTCCAGTGGACCTTAAATTTGCTAGAAGAGGAACATGACAATCATAGATGACATTAAGTCTAGCTGGAGTTTTTCTACTAAGTGCATCCGCCACTGCATTTGCACAACTAGGATGATACTCAATCGTGCAATCATAGTCACTAAGTAACTCAATCCACCTTCGCTGATGAAGATTAAGATCTCTCTGAGTAAAC